TGGAAAGTGAAAACTTCTTTATTATCATTATAATGGACATTTTGTACTTAAAGCATACCTCGGTTTATTCTTCCTCTAGTTGAGCCAGTCTTTGTACTTTTGGGGGCTTCAGTCCTATGCATGTTACAGTCGTAGGTTTTTTGGCCAACTATGATACATACAGTAACTAGTGGGGATAGGGTGGCCGTGCTACACGGGCATGTTTTGTCTTCTTTTCGGCGAATCTGACCGAAATGCCGTTGACATGTCGATTTATACGGTTCAAGCCACTGCTTTACAAACCTGATAGTGCAGCGTCCTCGGATCACCGCTTCAACCATTCAAAAATCGTCTCATTTTTAGCCTTGGTGCCTAAGCTCTTTTATAAACAGAACTTAGTTGCCACAAAGCCGCAAGCGAAAAAACAACAATTTCATATCGTGTGCAACTTCAGTTCGGCTTTGGCAAATTATATAATTGAGCTTAAGAACTATCCAAAAGGTGAGCCGAGTTTCAAAGCTAAGTTTACTGTATTCTTTCTAAGTTTTGACTTTTTACGCTGTCGATTTGACTCGCGGCGAAAAACATTGTAAAAGTTATCAGGATTTCATGGTTTCGTTGAGGGTTCCGCTGACCAATTAAAATACTGTATCGTGCCCTAAAAAACGTATTTCCGCGGTGTCCCGGATGTTCCAAGTTTTAATCGGGTCACGTGACGTATAAGACCAATCGTAGGCAAGCAAAAATATTTCGTTAAATTGTAAGAGAAATAACTCAACAAAAGCGATGTTTTTCGCACCTTTGTGTGGGTTTAGAGGTAATTTTTGATCAATTTTGCCTTCTGCAATGTCTCCCATTTTATTGGTCAAACTCACAGAAGGATTTGTATGCAGAATACGTAATAGTACTCAAACAATATAGCATCAATTCTATTTTAACCGTCAGATGACCTAGTATCTAACATAGTTGCAACTTTTCAAATGTTCTTATTTCCTTTCTCGTCATGTTCATCTACAGAGGATGTGGGTGGAAACCAGACTAGCTCGCCTTCTCAGGAACGTTTCCATGTAAGACGCATCAATCCAGATAAAGTTATTTTGAAGGTAACACGCGTACATCTAAGTTAAAATTTTACTTTGATTATCTTGCAAACACAATACAAACCATGTACTTTGGTATTCAGGTGTGATTTGCGGTACTATAAAAACGCTTACCTAAGTTTAAGTAAAACGTGAGACTAGCGGGGAGCTTTCTCTTTTCTGAAGTTACAACTCCACCTACATCTCAACGTCATTATGCTTGACTTGTGATGGGGCGGGGAAACGGATAATGCGATCACTCGTGGTTCTCCTTACCTGAAGAAAACAAAAAAAAGTTTTTGTAAGCAGCGAGTTAGTTACTTCCGCAAAATATACTTCTACTTCCAGTACAGGTGAGTATCAAGAGGATTTATCCTATCATTGCTATCCCAAGGTTTGCCAAACATTTTAAAGAGAATTTCTCTTCCAGTATCAGACTGGCGCTCCATTTAAAATTGAATTTAATGGAAGGCTACCCGATGAGGTGGAAGCAGGATTTGCTGAGTTCGAAACCCTGCAAGAGGTAGAATTATCAAGGGAAGATGACCGTACTCTAGCGGGTAGAGCTCTTCCGCGTAAGTATACCTTCTTGATTTAATGTTTACTTTTTAAATGGTTAGATGTCTACAACCTGGTTAGTTCTGGTTTTAGAGCGCTGGACTACTGTGTGGGAGCCTCAGACCAGACCGGTTTTTATTACTGGTATCACTTCTGAAAATTTTCCTCGTTCACACCAGCACTCCGTTCACTGCTTTTGCATTTTTAGAGGTTTCTTTCTCTTCCTCTAAATTTGAGACCCACGGATAAATGAGATTTTTGGAATACAATCTTTCCAAATCAACTTGAAAGGTCACTTAAAATGTACGCTCGAAGTTTATGCAACTCTGAACACCCTTCATATTTATATGTTGCAGACTCAGGAGGAGGAGGTATTTTTAGAGTAATTGTTCGCTCGCAAAATGGCTTGTTTTTGGGTGAAACAGAGATTTTGTACTTGGATTTGGTGGAAGAAGTGTTGAAACAAGCAGTTCACGACCCAACTATAATGAAGCTGTTCATTAGAGCTGCCATCCCATGCTTAGATGAAAACTCTGGAAGTGATTGCGACGTAGCAAATTCCACGAACGCTGGTAGGTGTCTATTTTCTTATACCGCCAGAATGCATCTTTTTTTTCGGTCATGTTAAAACCCAGACTGCAGACTGCAGACCGGACAGACTGTGCAGACTGTAATTTTTTTTGTATTTTTTCACTTTTTTCAATTATTTTTTAACTCTGATTTTCACCTTTTCCTTACTCTTTTGGTAACGTTAGAACAGTGTCCAGTTTTTGGGCACCACATAACGTAGTTTCACAAGGTTATTTTGAGCTCAGGTTACCTAGCAACAATTTGGACGAAATCGGCCAAGTCTCAAAGTTATCGTGCACGTGGTGAGATGAAGATCGACGAGGGAAGGTTGTATTTGAGTTTGCCCTTGTGTTGAGATAAATTTTAGCTTTGTCATATACTTTTGTTAACTATTTATTTCTGTATTGAAGACGGAAACCAGTGACTGATTTAGAGGTAAGAAATGGGCTGCGTGGACGAAGCAAATAATTACTAGGATCTTCACAACACGACCCAAAGAACTTTACAGTAAATAAAGAGCTGCAAGCTAAAATCGACTTTTATTCGGAAATAAGATAATGCCCATACACTTTCACGCCATTTTTCTGATAAGAAATTGCCATTAATATGAAACACTGATTCATACATTTCGTGGAAGCTCCTCTAACCAAGACTTTTCATCAAAAATTAATGATAAATGTAGTAAAACTAAAGAAAGCGTGACCCTAGCGCATTGAAACTTGACCTGTCATCCTAAGTTTAAGAGTAGATCAATTACTAGGTTTAATTGTAAAACAGAAATATGATCCTTGTAACATGCAAAAATATGCAAAGCGTAGTCTTAATACTGAGCAGGATTTACGTGGGTAAATAGGGTAGATCAAAGCATTATGCTCACGTTAAAATTAGGGTGTTTACTAGAAAGAAAACTACATGCCTTCCCTCGCATATCTAATCACGTAAAGACTAGCCACCAACTTGTATATTAAGCACTTTGATTTAGCAAATAAAGTTAGATGCAATCAGGACTAGAGTGTGAGCGAGTCAGTCTTCGTTGAGGACCCAAAAACCGACCAGGTCTAGAGTAAAACAGGCAGTCGACACTTATCTGTTGGCCACGAAACCTTCCCTATTGTAACAATGAGTAAATAAATATATAATCATGGGTGTACTGTATCGAAGGGTGAAGTAGTAAGTAAGCAAAAATTCCCCCGTCTGCATGGTCTGTACAGTCTGCACAGTCTGCATGGTTTGCAGTCTGCGTTTTAACATGACCGCTTGTTTTTCCTGTGTAAAAAACTTTTTTGGACACATCACATAAGCGATTAATCGCACTTTATGACATAACTTAGACAACACACACTCTGATTGATCCAAAATCTATTGCTTATTTGTCTGTATACCCGTAGAAAACTGAAACAACTTCCCGCCCTGTCAAATGGCGTCACACGGGGCGAATTCCCAGGTTTTGATTTGTCAAAAGCCTCTGGTTTGGAGGAAACGAAGAGGACTCTTTGAACGCCAAAAACAACGGCAAAGATTTATATTTTTAAATGATTATTAAATTTGCAATATATAATGCAATTTGACTAACTGGTTCCTCCTGCGTTTTAAGTCTTTAATTTTTCGCTTACACCGCGGTGTAAGCGAAAGACCTCGAAAAATTTTCTACTAGAATTCCCCTAATTGTCGGCCGAGAAGGACACGTTGATTAATTTTTGCTTCAAGAAAATTGTGTCTACAAAATAACCGGATTTTCACTTAGATATTTGCAGAAACTTCTATTAACTGATAAGAACAAAAGCCGCTTGCAGAGTGAATGTACTCAAAATTTATGGCGATTCCATTTACTGTCCGAGAACAGTTCAGCCAGGTTTAAGCGTTTTAAGTAAATCTGTAAATTTTACAGTCAAACTAAGTGAAGAGTACCCCTCAAGATTACATTAATGAATTGATCATTTGGATACTGAACCCACCAGTCGTTTCAAGAATGCAATAATGAATTGATTATTTGATTATTGAATCCGCTAGCCGTTTCACGAATGCAATAATGGATTGATTATTTGAATATTGAACCCGATAACACTATAGATCGTTTTTACGGAACGTCACATCATTTCCGGTCGCCATATTTGTGTACAACCCAGGGTACTATATATGCAAATGCAAATAATAAGCACATCGACAATTTCTGCCTGTAAAAATGAATACTACAGCAACGGAAGCAAAATTAAGTGCCAATACTGATATCATTATCCATCCTCCTCTTTCTGTGTACGCCAAGAAGCTAGAACCACAAGTAAGGCAGCGTTATTTGGAAAAAATTT